AAGGCAAAGCAATTATACTTTCCAAAGTAATATAAAAGAATATTTTCATGACCCTAGGTAAAGATTGATTTCTTAATGCCAGCTAATTCATCCATGGATATTTATTTGTATGTGACAGGCACTCTTCGAATTGATGGAAATATATCAGTGAACAGAACAGACAAATGCTTTTGTGGAGCTTACACACTACCCACTGTGATTTAGCATTACTTTGTAGGAATAGCTGTCTAAATGTATGCCAAATAGTCTCCTTTTCTTAGAGTTCAGAAATTATATCTGAAATTACCTAGGTATGGATCTTTCACTTTATGAATGAGTGAGCATCTTAAGACTTAGGTCTTTATGGAAATTTTTTCCTAGTTATTTCCCTGATTATTGATTTCATTCCATCTCCATTCCCTCCTTTCCTTCCTTCTGGAATGCCTATATTTGCCCTCCAAGTCTCTTGTCTTTTCTTGCCTATGTCTATATATTTGCTGAAAAACAAAGAACTAGGAATGACCAATTGGAGAGATTTTCCCAGAACATTGTGCAAAAAGACAATGGCTACTCTGTTTTATTCAGTTTCTCTCTCTCTTTTTTTTAATTTATACCTCGGAGTTTTAGGGAATCAAGAACATGCTCCTATCTCTTCTCCCTGTTGGTTCAAAACAACCAAACATTCCCCGCAAAATTTGCACACTTTGCCTTACTGTTATTGTTTCAAATAATTTGCTATTATTTGCATATTGCTTTTCTTCTGTAGCCATCTTCTTGTTTTAAGACAATAGGATTTTCTCAGCTCTCACTAATGTTATGCTTTTATTTTAAGGTTCTCTCACTTCTTCCCTGTATTTACTGGGCCACTTGGTTTGATTTCTCATTTCTGTTCTCTTTTTTTTCAAGCTCTGATATTTTTCCACATTACTAGCTTCCTTTTATCTGTTCATGGTTATGAATGATGGTTTGACAAGTCACTCTTCTTAGCTGACATATGTTCTCATAACATTCTGCCTTTTCAATGAACAGTAGATTGGGCTTTTTTTTTTTAAGATTTTATCCATTTATTTGACAGAGACACAGCAAGAGAGGGAACACAAGCATGGGGAGTGGGAGAGGGAGAAGCAGGCTTCCCTCTGAGCAGGGAACTCGGTGCAGGGCTCGATCCCCAGACCCCGGGATCGTGACCTAAGCTGAAGACAGATGCCCAACGACTGAGCTACCCAGGTGCCCCTAGATTGGGCTTCTTCCTAGGAGGGTTATAAGGAATAGCTCAGGTGAGCTGGCCACTCATACTCTAAGACCCATAGAGACGTGAGGCAGAGCTCTTTCCACAGGTGCCAAATACTGGAGGCTCTGAAGCAAGGGCCTCCCTGTATGGTTTCATGACAGCTTTCCCTCTACCTTATTCTCAACAGATTCACAGGAATCCCTAATTTTAGAATGAATTTTTCTCTCTTTTGTGTGACAGGATTGTATATTCTTGATAAATTTTATCTTCTTAGTTGAATTTTTAGACACAGAATTAGAAAGCAGAAATCAAAGTTAAGTTGCCATCTTCCCAAAACCCTCCTGAATGCAGGGTTGTGGAGCCAGGGAATCACCTTGGAAGGCAAGAAACTCTCCCATTACATCAAATGGTAAGAGTGGAGTAATTCTAAGTAGGCTAAGGGTGAATTCATTAACCCCAAAGTCGGTAGAGATTTAGTGAGGGCATTTTAGGTCTCTGGGATGTTACTACTATGAATTAGTAAACAGCATTACATACAATTCCCCCAATTTTGGTTGTTTTCTTCTTTAAGCTATATCCGGGATTAAGGCAGGACTAACTTGTAAGTAACTGCATATCTTGTCCAAAATCTGTCTATGGGCATTGACTGTGTATCAAAAATTATATTTGATTCCATTTATTAGTTAAACCCTGATCAAAGCTATAGATTTCAGAGATCTAGAATGTGGTTCCAAGAATAATAAGTGTCATTAGTAAGTAGATAAGAAGCAGTCTCGTTTTGAATTGCTGGGCGGCAAGAGGTGTGAATAAAATCATCATAAATCCTCAGGTCAATAAACAATTAAAGGAAATCTATAATAAAAATGCCATTGCTTTGTAATCAGATTGGCATAGACACAACAGTGGCAGTTGTATGCTTATCTTAGCAGGTAAAATAATGACCGTATGTATTAATGACAAGATAGAGGGATACCTGTGATCATTAGAAGTGATAATAGATAAAATAAGAGTGTGTCAGAAATTGAAGGAGGAGAAGATCCTCCTTAGGAGCTGAGTTGAAAAAGCAAGTGAGGGAGCACTGGAAAACATTATGATCCAGTAAATGCATTGCTTCTACAAGTGGTAGAGAAAATATGGAGCTAATGTTAGAAGTTTAAAAAAAAAAAAAATGCTGGACTTGCTTGAACTGACAGGAAAACAAAAAGAGAGAAATGCAATAGTAAAGGAAGTTAGAGTCATATCTTACTAACCAGGAAGAGGTAACAACATTTATAGAAGTTCTGGAAAATATAAAAGCTCAACGAGAAGAAGTAAGAATATAGGAAGACATAGCAAGGCCAGGATAGGCCACTGTAGGTCCCTGAAGCCTTAAGCTCCAGAAGAAATCAGCAGCTGTGGTTCAGGAATGAGCTGATCACGATTTTTCTAGCACATGAAATATAAACAATAATGGGAAACTGCACAAGAAAGCCAGACTCACAGATCTAAGGAAGTCCAGCACAGTAAGTAGCTGTGGTAGCCACTTCGGCGAGAGCAGGAGTCCTTGTAATCCTATAGCAGATACAAAGAAATACAAGGAAAAAAGCAGTTAATAAGGATTGTGGAAAATGTTGGGCCCTAATCTTCGACTGAAATTTGTTTTTGTTGAATATCATGCATCCGGCTCAAAAGAAAGTAGGTGTTGTATCCTCAGAAAAAGCATTCTCTCCATGCTGCAGTTGGGACGCTTGGAAAGTATGGGCACAGAGAGGGCGATGGAAAGGAAAATGTGCAGGTTTTATAATATGCACAGTAATACTTAAGGGAAGAATAGGACGTTGAAAACTTCTAAGTTGAGAAAACAGAAGTTTTTCATAAACCATTCCCAAAAAGAAGATTGTTTGTATAAACAGAGGTTTTTTTGTTTGTTTGTTTTTCCCATGTTGTGTGGGAACCATAGCATCACTCCTCTAACTTCTCAGAGACGCTCCTGAGTCTGGCTCTAGACACCAAACAATGGGCACAGACTGACAAAACAATTTCGAAAACTTGAAACCACCAATCCCTTGTTTTTCCTTTCTGCCCCCTCCAAAGATAACATATTTCTCTGTAAGGACTATGGCCTGTGATGGCCACATGCGTTCGAACATCCTTTTGACTAGGGAAATGCTATTGTACCATGTGGTGGCCACATTTTGTTCTGAGAACTTATGTGTGTTTTCTAAATTTTATGAATATGGAGTTGGTGTATGTGGTGAATATTTGTCATTCATTGTGGCTAACTCAGCATCTGAATTGGTCTTCCTGTTTGAGGAATTTCCCTCAGTATGGTTCTACATCTCCCTAAGATGGTAGCCATAAACTCAGCTTCCTGGCTAATCAATTTTTCTACCGTAATAAAAACCTCAAAATCACAGGGGCTTACAACAAATATTTTTTCATTCATGTCCTCAGCTACAGGTGGACTGCTGGGACTCTGATCCACAGGTCTTCTCATCCAGGACCCTAGCTGAAGGAGGAGCTCCTCTTTGGGACCTGTCTTTACTGTGGCGGAGGGAAAATATGAAGAAGTGGTGCAAGCGTGTCTCATAAATCTTCTGTAGGAAACTGAAACATGTCCTTAGCTCCCATTCCAACGATCCAAGACAGTCACATAGCCAAGTCTGATAAGGGCCTGGGGCAATATTCTCCACCTATAGGGAGGCACTCTGAGTCATAGGCCATGGATGGGGTTGGACATTGCCCTTACAAGAAAATCGATGGGAACGATAATTCAATCTACTACCATGAGATCTAAGTGCTGTCAATCATGTAAACCTGCAAGAAGCAGACTCGGAAGCTAAGAACATAAAGCAGATGCTACGTTGAATCATGCTGGTGAAAATCAATAGAAGAATCCATCTTCTAGAGAAAGCAGAGTATAGAGAGTATAGTGAGACAGAGATAGAGAGTATAGTGACAGCTTCTTCTTTTTTTTATGGTTTTCCTTTTTATTTAATCAAAGACTAGTGGATAAACATAAATACAGCACAATTACTTCAGATCATTCTTCGTATTGTATACACACAGACCGATGAACGTAATCTGAAAGAAACCTGCAGTCGGCAATGAAATGCATACAGCTTTTCCTTCCCTCGCTCAAAAAAATTTAAAAACACACAAAGTGAGAATTTATCAGCACACACTCTCCTGTGACAAATGATTCAGACATAAATAATGGGTGCAAAGAAACCATATGCTAACATATGTAGAACCTTTGTTAATGAAAACCTAGAAGCAGCCATAAAGATGAAGATACATTCAGTGACTGGTAACTAGTTGTGCCCTGAGGGGCGCCATCGACAGAGATCGTGCTGCAGAGAAAAGCTATGTACACACACAGTGAGAAAATAAACTGCAAGATCAATGCATGCATGTTTAATACTGGAAAAATCACGGCCCTCCAAAATTTCGCCACATTTGTTATAAAAGCCCTCTGCACCCAACTAAAATTAAAATGATCTTAAAAGGATAATACTTGTAAAGTTTACTTTTCAGCCACAGAAACTGCAATGGAAATAAATGTTCAGAGTCATTTTCAAAACAAAGACAAAAATCTATTCGTCTGATGACATGCATGATTAAAAGGTCTATGCAAGATACATTGCCCTACATTCCCAATGACTAGGAAAAAAAACCTCAAGTCAATTTTTAGTTTGCAGATGGTCAGAGGATTTTGTATTCCAGCAGGAGTTCAAATCTTCTGGATCTTCTCACCAACAACTACTGGATGTTCTTTTCTGATTTTCTCAGCAGCATCAGCTTTGTAATTCTAAGAGCAACTGCGTACATCGGAGTAACAGTGTACATCACAGCAAACATTTCCACACCGGCATTCAAACCCAGTAAGTCCCGCTTTCTTTCTACACATGAAACAGCGATTCTTTTTTTGTTTTGGTTTTTCAAGAGACTTGCTTTGCTCTTCAGATGGCTGCTAGGCCATATCTGACACAGAAGCTTGTAGGTCTTCTGTTTCAGGTCCTGCTTTATCCACAGATGTACTGTCCAATTGGGAAGATGCTACAGATACTGATAAAAGTGACTGATTTGATACAGGGCTTGGCAGCACAGACGCAGACATGGAATCTAGCGGTGACTGAGCGTCCGGGACACTGCCGTTTGTGCACTGGATGGGGAAAGATTCAGACAGACTACTGACAGGAGCTGCAGGGGGAGCTTTTCTGCCATTACTACTATTCTGTCTTTGAAGATGTTCTTTATAGCATACTGAACACATGCCATTTGTATGAGGGTTTCCACAAAATCTGCAGCCAGTGGGACAAAGCATAGGCACTTGACAGTGACTAGTTTCTTGAGCCATGTTCCTCTGTTGTACACCAAAACCTCCACAATTTTCTGTTTGCTTCCTCTCAGACTGACTTCATTTGAAGCTGTCATAGTGACAGCTTCTAGTGCCCATGTTTGGGAGTAAGATCTGAGTTAACCATGCACAATGGAGGTAGTAGTGATATCTCTACCGGAGTGAACCTACAGAGTAGGGTGGTGATGTTCCTGCCTGTGTCATCCATGAGCTACCTAATATTCCTTAGTAAGTCCTTTTTCTGATTAAAATACGTTTCTGGCATTTTCAACTCTTATTATTAGTCAGCCTTTTGGCTGGCTGGCTCCTGACTCAGTCTTTTGCTATCCACGTCCAAGGCAATGAGTTTGGCCAAATACCTCTAAACTCTATCACGCTCTGATAAAGAAACTATATCAATTTAATCTTTTCTACTGTAGAAATATGCCTTCTTTTCCATCACCTACTGAATAATACTATAATTATATAGTCGGCCACAAAATATTTTCCCAAAGCAAGGCCATCGTGGCATTTTAAAAATAAGTTTTTATGCAATGTGGTCATAAAATAACAGCAAGCCTAAAAAAAAATTACAGTTGACCCTTGCACAATGCAGGGGTTAAGGGCACTAGCCACCCCACACATACCCTATTCAGTCAAAAATCCACATTTAACTTTTGACTCCCCCCAAATTTAACTACTAATACCCTACTGTTAGCCAGAAGCCCTGCTGATAACATAGTCAATTAACACACGTTTTGTATATTATATGTATTATATACTGCATTCTTACAATGAAGTAAACTAGAGAAAAGAAAATGTTAAGTAAATCATAAGGAAAAGAAAATACATTTACAGTACTGTACTCTACAAAATCTGTGTATAAGTGACCTGCACAGCTCAAACCTGTGTTGTTCAAGGATCAGCTGTACTTATATATTTAAAACTTCACTTGTGGTGACCATAGAATAACATAAAGACTTGTCGAATCACTGTGTTATACACCTGAAA